ATTAAAAAACTAGGTGACGATCTTTTGTATTGAGTATTATTTTTTGATAGGAAATCTATAATTTTTACCATTTTCATTAAAAAACTAGGTGGTGGTCTTTTGTATTGAATATTACTTATAGATATGAAATCAATAAATTATTTGATGAATAAAATATAAAGGTTAAGACATCTATTAACAAATATAGAGAAATTTTCACGGAGTTTTTTGGGTGGTGTTAATATTGGAATTAAGAAATTGATTATAAATTTTGTATTTGAATTAACATACACGGAAATTTCCAATTTGCTAGCCCATCCTTTATAGAATCGAAACCTACGACGCTGGTACGGAAAAATAACATTGATTGATTTACATTTTTAAAAAAATCTAAAATACATTTGATTCCTGGGTGACGTTAAGGAAAATGTCCAGCAAGTTTAGAAACGCAATCAAAGTTATTTTCATAATGCTTTGAAAAATTTGGGTGCATCGTTAAATGTAAATTTAATCGTTAACTGTAGATCGTTGTCGTAAAATGTAATTTTTACCGGTAAATTCAGTTGCTTTCATTCCAATATCTAATGAACGGGCTGAAAACTTTCCTAACTTTATGGTTATCGTACAAAATTTGAACGAATCCCGCAAAGGTTCATTGAAAATGAGCCTCAGAGAAAAATTTTTAATGAGTTAATAAAAAATTAATTGTTAATGAAGTAATTAGCTCTAACAAACTTGATGATTTGTCATTCAAATTTGAGCATCATTTGGATGTTCGAGTTTTATTAACAGGGAACCATTGTCCATAAATGTGTTAATATATCAAAAAAAACTATTTTTGCTTGTGGCTTTAATAAACCTAGTTGATGCTTGCACATTTTAGACTAGATTATAAATTAGAATTGAAACAACATTGTTCCCACAAAATTTTACTATTGATGATCTTTAAATTACATGCCTCACTTAACTATGTACTCGAACTACATTTGAACACATAAAAGCCGTTCGTTTGAAGGATTATCATAGCAATCAATTGTCAAAGGCGCAAATTTTTGGTCTGAAATGACAGATGGCATTCACGCTGCGAATTTTATTGAATACGAAAATTGCAGCGAGATTTCTGTTAGCGGAACTAAACTGTGAAAGATAGCAAGTTGTTAGCACTGTGAAACCTGTAACTAGATAGCACTTTGAAACCATGTAACTATTTTATATACTTTAACAGTCCTGGAAACTATTCATTAGATCCACTAGTCCTCAAAATTTAGTTTTCAACTATCAATACCATAAAAAATATTTTAAATACCTTCAATAATATTTAGCTACATTTAACATTGTCCGTAAATATGTCAATGGCACCGACAACAGATGTGTTCGTTTACAATCTCGCAGGATGGCAACAAAAGCCTATTGGACAGGCTTTTAGAAATGCTGGAACTTTGGGCGAACGATTTTACGAATGAGGTTGAGAGTGCGGACTCGGAGGCAGCTCCATGGAGCGTCAAGACCGTCTCCATACAAGAGGTCTACAGAGAAGCTGGCTCCAAACCTGGAGTCAGACTTTGGTTGTCTACTCCACCCACCACACAACCAAGTCTTGAGATGTTGCTGTATAGGAGCAGACATAAGGTGAGGTGAAGCTAGGAGGAAATAAGGTGAAGCTAGGGGGAAATGATGTGAAGCTAGGAGGAAATAAGGTGAGGTGAAGCTAGGGGGAAATGAGGTGAAGCTATGAGGAAATAAGGTGAGGTGAAGCTAGGGGGAAATAAGGTGAGGTGAAGCTAAGGAGGAAATAAGGTGAGGTGAAGCTAGGAGGAAATATGGTGAGGTGAAACTAGGAGGAAATAAGGTGAGGTGAAGCTAGGAGGAAATAAGGTGAAGTGAAGCTAGGAGGAAATAAGGTGAGGTGAAACTAGAAGGAAATAAGGTGAGGTGAAGCTAGGAGGAAATAAGGTGAGGTGAAGCTAGGGGGAAATAAGGTGAAGTGAAGCTAGATGGAAATAGGGTGAGATGAAGCTAGGGGGAAATGAGGTGAGATGAAACTAGGGGGAAATAGGGTTGGGTAAAGCTAGAAATTTTACTTTATGTTCAATATTTGGTGCTTGTTTTGCTCGGTAATTACACGATGTGTTAGTTCGTAAGTATGGACCAAGAGGTTGTTATAATTACTTTGTATAGTTTTCTTCCGATTAAGAATCAAATAGGCAGATTAAATTCTATTAGTTATTAAAACATAATTATGATTGAATTTTAAAGAAGCGCCTCCTGAGCATGAATTCAACTAACAGTATTCGCAGAATTTCCGCAATATTTATTGAAATTAACGATTTTTGAAATTGGCGAAGAAAGACATTAACCCTTGGACTCCGATTGCTTCGTCTTGTACTAATATTTCATTTCTTGTACTGTTTTTAAACAGGGTTGCCAGACGGTCATTTTTCCCGGACAAATTCCGTAATTTAGTTTTTCTCAATTGCGTTGGCCGGCTAAAATTTGTGATAGGGGTACTTCCTAATTAAATCTTAAATACTGCAAAAAGAAAATAAATGGAATTTTTACAGAGGAACCTACAAATAAACTAGTATATATTGAGTTAACGGCCTTTTTGGCCTTTTTTGTTCTCGGATTTGGCCTATTTTAGGCAACCTGAAGTATGTACCACTACGTCCTAGAGAAATACATTTCGTTGTACGCATATGTACCACTTCAGAGTCAACGCGTTAAGTATTGATCATGCAAAGAGACATTTCATTCCTGTATAATGTTATTTCAATAATAAATGACAACATGTATAAGGAAAATGATAAGCAACATTTCTATTCGTACAGATAGGCAGTGAGCTGAAGATGGACGTGACAGCGATAGGCGTAGGCAGTGTAGGCCTATGCGCTAAGAACCTCGGTGGCTGTAAGTGCTGCTGTCAAGACAAGATCATCGTCGGTGAGAACTACGTGCTCGTGGACTCGATCACGTCTGTCCACGTGGGTCCAACAGTGCACGTGATTCCTTATTGCGGATGTTCCAAGGAGAATAAATTACTCCCAGTGGCTGGACACTCGAATGATTCACAGGCTGATAAAATCACCCCAAATCCACGACTCAAAAACGAGCAAAATTTTGCGCCGGCCGCACACGCTGTCGTCGGTGAAGAACCGCCGCCTTCCTGCCGTCCTGAGTCCTGTCTTAACGGTGGACGCTGTGTACCGGGACGTGATATGTCTGTACAATGTATATGTCCTACAAATACATATGGACCGCGGTGCAAGATAATACATAGGGAGTTTGACGTCTACGGGGCTCACGGGGAGTCGCCAAATCTCAGTTCTTGGGCATGGCTGCCGAGCCTGCCGACCTGTTCACATTTGCATATCAGCCTGCACGTTCTCACCAAGAACCTGCACGGTCTGCTGCTATACACCAGCAGTTCTAATTTGAAGAATTTTAATAGTTTTTTGGCTTTGCAAATAACCAACGGCAGGCCTCAGATTATGGTAAAATTAGGGTCCAGTGGATGGACGTCAACTGCAACGCTTAATGTCACCGTACACGACAACACTTGGCACAGACTTGACTTGCTCTGGAGGAATACTGTGAGTATTTCATATTTTAATTGATGTTCGGAGCAGTAAGTTTTTTATGGCATTTCATCAGAGTGCTACTTATAAATGTTTGTCATAATAAAAGCTCGGTTAAAGATCCAAAATAAAAATTTATTCAGTTATTAGGGTATTACGGTCCACTATCTTGAAAATTATTTGAAGCTTGACAAACAGATCCAAATGATGATACTGGTAAAAATGTGGAGATATTAGTTTTCAGCAATTGTAGACCTGAATGTTCAAGTGCATTTACCACAGTGAAATGGAATTTTTTAACAAAACGAGAATGAATGCGAAGTAAATAATAATAATAATATAAAAAATTACAATAATCCCTCTCACTTTACACAAAAACAATGTTATATTATTTTTTTAAATTTTCACCGCAGGTTCATTACTAGTTTCACTGGTGCCTGCTTTTATTAAATTTTTCTCTCAGCGACGTCCAAAAATGAAGCGATTTATACATGGACTGTTTCGTATTTTCAGCGTTATAAGACGGTTGTATTGCAGAGTTTGGAAGCGTTTTTCATGTGGTAAGCGCTGGAGTTTGGCACTCGGAGCGCTTGAGGGCAAATCAATATGAGATCAAAATTCTTATGTACTGACACTTGAACTGTGTCGCTCCCGACGCTATCTGACCTGGAGAAATGTTTTAAAGTGATAGCAACGACAGCGCTTCCAAACTTTTATAACTCTTAACGAAACTTGAACGCTTACGCAGACTCAAAACTTATGCTGAAATTCCGGTTTGTAAACCATTTCATGCTCTAAAATTCATTTATTAATGAGAAGCACTGTAAGTATGGGTAGAGGTTATATATTTGTAGATTTTTTGCGGCTCAACTGCGCTCAAGGAAAGCTCAAGAAAATAGTCGCAATAAATCTTGAACAGGTGATCCACGAAGTTGAATGACTCACATTTAACATGAGGTGGAATACGACGAAGAATGAAGACGCAGAGTTTCAAAATTCGAAAATGTTTTATTCTTGATTATAAAAATGTATGAATGGATCTGAATCTACCGAACTGAATTATTTCCTACTTCTTATGACACGTAAATTAATTTTTTTTTTGTGAAAGTTCGTACATTTTTTCTGACGGAAACTTCTCCATTAAAACAAGTGAAAAAAATTCCTCGGGATTTTCTCTGGATCTGAATTTACCGAAATGAATTTATTTCCCATTCGTTCTTATGTAACGGAAATTAATTAATTATTTTTAAAGTTCATACATTCTCTTCTGACGGAAACTTCTCCTTTAAATAAGCAAAAAAAATTCCTCGGGATTTTCTCTTCCCCGTCAGACACTGGAGCTCATATCGGACATGTGTTCGCGGCCTTCGCAGCTTTTGTCCAATTCCAGCGACCGCCCCGATTTTTCAACCAAATTTCCAGACAGCGCCGAATTTTTAGAATCCAACTCAAAAAGTGCAAGAGTATCAAATTGCCGAATAGCTCTCAGGCTACCTCAAGCACCGGCTAGTTTCGGGTGGGGCGGTCCACTGGAACTGGGTGGTCGGGCCCATGGAACTTCTGGACATCGTAATGAGGCGCCCACGGTGCCTTCATTCTCCGGCTGTATTGCCAAAGTCCATATCAACGGCCAGGTTGGTTTAGGGCCTCACTCTCCAGGGGCCCGTTCAGGCCTTTGGGCTTTGTTTATTTCCGATTTTACTGGACAAGTTTGCATTAGACTTGGTTTTTAATTTATGTTTTGATTATATGTTAAGTTATTTTTCTCCATATCAACGGCCACGTTGGTTGGGGCCATTCAAACCTTTAGACTTTGTTTATTTCCGAGTTTACTGGACAAGTTTGCATTAGTCTAGGATTTTAATTTATGTTGTGATTATATGTTACGTTATTTTTCCAAATGGTTCACACGCTGTGAAGCATTGAGCCTTTCAAACGGCCTTCTCCCGTACTTTGTCGGGGTGTCTTTGTATTTTGTAAGCGAGTAATTTTAAACTTCTTTCAGTTTTCACGCTGCTAAATTGATTTTTTTTATCTTTTGAAAGCGGGAAAGCTTCCCGGATTCGTTTCCATTCACCGCTCAATATCGGGAACGTTCCTTTTTTGGCCCTACTCTTGTGCAATTTTTGACAGCATCATAAAGAAAGGCCTAATATTTCGAAAGTTTGAATTATTTTGATAATCTGAAATTACTTCTCGAACGAGATTTCAGAGCCAAAAAGTTTTCTATTTAAGCTTTATGCCATTAAAAAGTAATTAAACTGAAGATTTTCACAAAATTTTTGATGATTTTCACTCCCTAGCTCTGCATCAAAGAGAAATAGTATAAATGATTATAATCATAATTAATAATAATTAATGATAATAATATTCGTATTATCAATTATTTTGATCAGCGTGAAAAAATGTAAAATTTAAAATGTCAGCAATTATTTCGGACAAGTCATTAAAATTGGTCTATACATTGGTTTATAACAATATACTATGAAGGTTCAATAAACTTGTTATATAGGTTCATTATAATGTGCTCTATATTATCCCACGGCAGATATGGTTACAATAACATTCTATAAATGCTGAAGATTTAAGAGTTTTTAGGTTTATTGTAACACGGTAAAAGTTTTATTACAACATGCAAAAAATTTATATTCTCACATGTTATATAGGTCCACTATAACATGTTATAAAGGGTCATGTTATGTTGACATGATAACATGCTACATACATACAATAGGTTCATTATCACGTGTTATGTAGATCTATTGTGACATGTTACAATAAACCTTTACAGCACGTCATAAAGGTTTATAATAACTTGTTTTAATGGTTGCAACACTTCATGAAGTTCATTATAACGTCATATTAGTTTATTATAACTTGCTATAAAGGTTACAACACGTCATTATAGTTCATTATAACATGTCACGTTATATTAATTTATTATAACTTGTTATAAAGATTACAACACGTCATTATAGTTTGTTATAACATGTCACGGCACAGTAGTTTATTATAACATGTCACGTCATATTAGTTTATTATAACATGTCACGTCATATTAGTCTATTATAACATGTCACCTTATATTAGTTTATTATAACATATCACGTCATATTAGTTTATTATAACATGTCACGTCATATCGTCATATAAATTTATTATAACTTGTTCAACATAGTCACTAAATAAGTTGTATCACAGCTACAAGACCTGGGCCCGACACCTCATATTAGTTTACTATAACATGTACACGTCATATAAATTCATCATAACTTGTTCAACATAGTCACTAAAGAAGTCGTATCACAGCTACAAGACCTGGGCCCGACACCTCATATTAATTTATTATAACATGTCACGTCATATTAATCTATCATAACATGTCTCGTCATATAAATTCATTATAACATGTTTAACATAGTCATTAAATAAGTTGTATCACAGCTACAAGACCTGGGCCCAGCGCTGCTCAGTAGCGGCAGCGCGGCGGGCTGTCGCTCCCTGGCCTGCCTGCGCCCCCACAACACGTGCCCCCTCCACGCCAGGTGATCACTTCTTATTAATACTAATCATTTATAATGTAAATTAGAATATTTATTTTAATACGCGATGATCACTCCTTATTAATACTAATCATTTATAATGTATATTACAATATTTATCTTTTAATACGCGAATATTGTGAATACTTATATATACTTGTGATATTGTATAGGTAGGTATTATACTTTTTCATCAATAATTTATTATGCGAATTAGAATATTTGTCTTTTAATACACGAATTTTGCATATAATTATATTTACAGATAAAAGGTAATATAATTTTTTATTTTAATAATTGAATATTGCAAATAAAACCCAACGTCAAGCTTCAAAACGTACAACGAATATTGCTAAGCTGTATTAAAACGTGTGTCTTGTGTACCGTAGATTACGAAAATAATTATAACGTGTGAATCACACAAGTGGAATGTATGAGCATTCAGTTCCGTACCCTTTATTCGAATGAATTGAATGCGTGCAGGCGTGAACAATATATTTTACTGTGCATAAATTCACAGGCATTTGTTTTATTCCATTGTCCGTATGGAGAAAAAGAGATCTCACCTAGAATTGAAAAGTTGACATCGTTACACTGCATATATGATGCATTTTATGGATTTGAACTGAAAAATTTCAAAATTGAATTTGAATACTATTAAGTAATGAAACGCCAATATTACTATTGAACTCTTCATAGGTTATTATAAGGTCATCATCATAGGTTAACATTATTTTAAAAAGATATGGTGTGGCGCGCTACCTAATGTCGCTTCTCACGAATGTCAGGAGCTGTAAAGGACCGTGATTCCAAAATTAATAGTTTACTAAACAATCATTTATATTCGATACACAGGCAAATTGATTAATTTAAAATAAGAAAATGTTTAATTAATCTCACGTCTTTAATTTTCAAACAAATTCTTCCAATGCTTTCTTCGTAGTAGGAATCAAATCATTCAAAAAATATATTTATCCGTCGTAAACATGGATAAACTACTGGAAATTTGTAATGTTTCAACTGTGATGGTAGACTGGAGCGATTTGAAGAAAACCATGTTTTACAAAAACTAATTTGTGACTTATAGGAATGTTGGCATAAATTTTCCTCGGCAGAACTATTATTATTCCATGAATATATGGTGAATTATCTTTATCTTACAAAGGAATTATGAACTATCTTTATCCTATAAACGTGTGATGAATTTCTTTCATCCTATAAATATATGGCGAATTATTATTATCAGATAAATATATGGTGAATGTTTCTTTTGCTTCCCTTGCTTTAAAATTTCTAGTAAATTAAGAAAATTTAACTAACCAACTAACTAATTCGTGTATATTGACCCTAGATGTGTAGGATCACCGGGGACGGAGCTGTGTGAATGTGTTCCAGGCTACACAGGACACAAGTGCACACAGCGGTCCGTGCCTGTATACTTCCGTGCCAACAGCTTCATACAGCTCGCCTTATCCTTCACTCCACCGCCTCATACCACCGACCTCTCTGTCAGGTCGGCTAAATATTATTTAATTGTTACTTGATGTCTAGATTATCACTAAATATTATGTATTATTTTAGCTAATTTTATGATTTATTTTAGATTGATACTCGTAATAAAACTTATTTTAGTTAAATATTATAACTCATTTTGGCTTAATATTATGACTTATTTTAACAAATATTATGACACATTCTAGCTAAATACTTTGGAAAAATAAGATAAGTTCGTCGTTTTAATATGAGATAATACCTTCACTTTGCTGAATACACAGTTCAAAATTCAAAGTAAAGTTTGGATACAGAAGTCATCATAAAAATTTAATAACTTAAATAACAACTTAATCTAGTCCAAAATTAAATTTGAATACAACACATTCTAAAATTTTCTGTGAACTAGGCCTATGTCAGAGATAGTGGACTGTCCGGCGCAGGTTCAGGACCAGAGAGCCGGCCGGAGAGCTGGTGTCTCTGAGCTCCCGTCACGGCCGAGACTCTCTGAAGCTGCTGCTGGCAAACGGGCGTCCCTGTCTCGAGCTGTCCCTGCACCCAGAGACTCCAGCGCGGCTCTGTCTCGCGTCTCGTCTCAATGATGGTCTCTGGCACCGTCTCGAGGCCGTCAGGTACGGCCATAGTGTTGCGGCCGTAGAGTCTGGCAGGTACGGTCATAGTGATGCGGCCGTAGAGTCTGGCAGGTACGGCCGTAGAGTCTGGCAGGTATGGCCGTAGAGTCTGGCAGGTACGGCCGTAGTGTTACGGCCGTAGAGGCAGGCAATTAGTAGAAGTACAAGCACAGGGAGCGTGTTCGGATGATAGCCGCTAATTGGTCTTTGAATTGTTGAAAATTTATTTCATGACATCGCGTCCAACTTTCCACAATGCGGAAATGTTCAAGTAATTACAGTATATCATTCAAGTAATTATATCATTAGTTCGCTTAAATCGTAAGTTCATCGAGAATTTAAAAGCAAAGAAAACATTGATTAAACGAATATATTGTGAACCTAGTTGGCGTTTTGTGTGGCTTTTCTAATTCTTGATTATTCTGGGAATTTGAAAGCAAAAACAATACCACAAAAATTCACCATATCTTTATAAGAGAAAACGTTTCGAGGTCCAGCTCCATCGTCAGATCACAAAATTCAGTTCAGAACAAGTTCAGATCTAGAAACAAAAATACAATCAATTAGTAGAGTAAAAGGCACTGTTGGGTTTTAAAACGGAGAATAAATAAATAAGAAATGAAGTTAACGCTAGTAAACGGCCTATCTATTCACTATTTCAAGAGGAACGGAGCTAAAAGCGGCATTTAGACTAGGCTTCTGCTTGAATATATATATGGATTCTAAAATGCGTAGATCAGTAACACCGGATGCGGAAGCTAGAATTTTAAAATCATTATCGGACACAGAGGTGTTGCACTGCTCAGCATGAACACTTACAGCAGAATGAGGTGAATGTGCCAGTATAGGTTCCCCGTCCTATAACTCCTGCCCTTATGCTCAGCCAGCCTAGTATAGAAATTGCGTGACGTCATACCGACGTACGCTGATGCGCATTGCGCACAACTATATCTGTAAACTAGTGACGATCGCATAAGAACAGGTAGGGTATCCTTAAACCTGAAAAACGAGCTAATTCTAAAATTGTTAACTAGCAACACATGAAGATTTACATCCGGAAGATATTTAGCAAATAAAACTTTTAATTCCTTTGATGCGGGGCCAAAGTAGGGAAAAGAACAGTAAACAACTTTCCTATTGTCACACTTTCCTATTGTCACAACTGCATTATATTGCTTGGACATAAACTTCTTAATTTGGGTAAACACCAGGTGCGATGGAAAGCCATTTTGTGAAAAGATATTGCGCAACAATTCAAATTCAGAGTGCATGGCTAAATAAGTAGAGCAAATGCGAAAACCGCGGTTTATCAATATTTGGATCCCATTTAATTTGAAGCGAAAGGAACAAGAGCTAAAAAAGCTGGTGCTTAAGCCGGTAAAGGTCGATTTTCTAAAAACAGAAGTTTGGAAACGGCCATCAGATTTGGTAACTTTGCAATCAATGAATGACAAGCTATTGTTTGATTCAAGCTCCATGGTGAATTTGATAGATTTATGTTGGAGATTAAGATAGTCAAAAAACAGGCCCACATGTGAAGGATGCTTAAAAATCAAAAAAGTATCATCAACATATCGGTTATAGAAAATTGGCTTAAAATCCAGAGGACAATTGGCCAACCAGTTAGCCTCGTGAAAACACATTAATATATTGGCAAAGATAGGGCCGAGTGGAAGACCCATGCCCAAACCGTCAATTTGTCTGTAAAACTTGCCAGCAAATAGAAAAATTGAGTTTAGCACTGATAATTCAAGAAAAGATTTGAAAAAATTGCGGTTAAAACCCATGACAAGGTCACTGACATCTTTAAACAATGAATTAAGACATATATTATATATATATATTGATTATTCTGTATAATTATATTGAAATTTAATACTTATACTTATAATTTAAGGAGTAAAAATGCCTGAGATTTTTGTGCCAAGTACCACTAATAAAATTGGCCCATGCAATGCACTCACAGAAATATATGGGTGATATTGTCTAAATAGTTACACACTGGAACAAGTGATGCACTGTGAATTTGTAGCATCTGAAACAGAGAATATTTCATTTTATTATAATAATAATTATTATAATAATATAATAACTCCTCCAAGACTCAACCTTTCAGATCAAAATGAAGCGAACGGGAGTGGCAGGGCTGTGCACTCAGAGAAATTACAGATAATTTGTACATAAAACGATGCATTTTTTGTGCTTTTGTGGGTCACCCTGCCCCTGTTTAGCCCAATAGATGAATGTGTCTGTGCAGCATCCGCTCTCCGCTGGTGTTGTATGTATGAAAGTGTGTCACTATTCAGACAATATGAAACATTCATTGTCGTTAAGTGTGTCACTATTCAGACAATATGAAACATTTATTGACGTTAAGTGTGTCACTATTCAGACAATATCACACGTTCATTGTCGTTAAGTGTGTCACTATTCAGGCAATATGACGCATTCATTGTCGTTAAGTGAATTTATATCACTTGTTTGCTTAAATCGCAAATTAACTAAGAATTTAAAAGCAAAGAAAAGTCCACAAAAATTCATATCTTTATAGAAAACGTTTCGGAGACCAGCTCCATCGTCAGTTCGTAGAATCTAGAATCACAAATCAGAAGTCACAAATTAATACATTGAAAGCACAAAACAAAATTAAAAACCTAAATTTACAAGTAATAGACGGAGCAAAAAAAACTATCTATTAACTATTTCAAGGGGATAGGAGCTAGCAGCTGAATTCAAACTGGGCCTAAGTTTAAAGATGTACAGCGATTCTAAAATGCGCAAATCGGAAGTCCCGGAGGTGGAAGCTAACAGGCCTAAAGTCACAGTCAGAAATAGGGACATCACACTGCTCGGCGTGAGCGCGCACAGCCGAATGAGGTGGGCGCGATAGCAACTGTCCGGTTCTACAACTCCTGCCCTTATGCTCAGAGACCCTGGAATAAAGATTACGTGACGTCATCCCGACGTACGCAGATGCACATCGTGCACAACAATATTGATAAACTAGGGACGGTCGCATATGAACAGGGAGCATATCTTTATATCTAAAGAAAGAACCGATTGTGAAATTGTTTAAGACAATATGACACATGTATTGTCGTTAAGTGTGTCACTATTCAGACAATATTACACATTCATTGTCGTTAAGTGTGTCACTATTCAGACAATATAACACATTCATTGTCGTTAAGTGTGTCAATATTCAGACAACATATGACACATTCATTGTCGTTAAGTGTGTCAATATTCAGACAACATGACACATTCATTGTCGTTAAGTGTGTCACTATTCAGACAATGGGGCACATTCATATCTCTGAATGGTGCGTACATATGTCGGTTGCATTGATCAGTGAAGTCGTTTCAGCTTCCGAAATTTTGCATTTCATGTACGAGCAGCAGCAGTAATACTGCCTAAGTGATGCAGTAATTGCCTGGTTTAGCAAGCCTATTGTCCAGTTGTACAAAGGCTTTACTGCGAACCAGCGTATATATGAAGAAAACTACATCCTTTTCTCGTATATTCATTAATTATTCCCGTTCTTTTAATTTCATTAATCAGTAATAGCGTAGAATAACAATTGAAACCGATGCGTGGCAGTAGTCATTAATCGAAAATTCACATGTATTATTGAAAAAAATGGTAAAACTGAAGTTCATTTGGATTATTCGTCTCTGTAAAGAACTGTTAACAACTCGAGACCAAATAATTGCTTTCGCTACCATGAAAGTGAATGTATTCTTAATGCAGGTGCGTGCAATAACAATCATGCCGATAATCACTCCTGATACATTAAAACGTGTAAGAAGTTCTAGTGAGAAAAGACTGCAATACACATATACTCTATATAATAGATACATATATTCACCCTGACATATTGTAGCACGTATAATATTTGTAGTAATAGACAAAAATAAAAAATAAAAGCGAGTGACAATCGTCATTTTTTGTCCAACTCAGACGGGGTGGAGCTTGAAGGGATTTCTTGTAGAACAAATTATATTAATTAAATAAGTATCTTCACCGTGACATATGTAATTATTTCTAGTAAAAATAATTAACACGTGACCATCACGGTCGTGTGTCCATCACAGACGGGGCAGCGGCCTGGAGCTGACGGCGGACAAAGGCGATGGTAATAAAAATAATTAAGACGTGACCATCATTGTCGTGTTTCCATCACAGACGGGGCAGCGGCCTAGAGCTGACGGCGGACGAGGGCGATGGTAATAAAAATAATTAACACGTGACCATCATGGTCGTCTGTCCATCACAGAGGGGGCAGCGGCCTGGAGCTGACGGCGGACGAGGGCGATGGTCCGCTGTACGGCGCTGCCATCAGCGGCCACCACCACAACACGCTGCTCTTCCTGCACCCTCAGGAGGGCGTCGTGGTGGGCGGCGCCCCCGTCCACAGGAGAGCTTCTTCCCACCACAGCGTCCTTGGGGACTTCTTCAATGGTGGGGACTGGCTGAGGGACTTGGTGACTTCTTCAATGGTGGGGACTGGCTGAAGGACTTGGTGACTTCTTCAATGGTGGGGACTGGCTGAGGGACTTGGAGGCCGTAGAGGCAGGCAATTAGTAGAAGTACAAGCACAGGGAGCGTGTTCGGATGATAGCCGCTAATTGGTCTTTGAATTGTTGAAAATTTATTTCGTGCTATCCTGTCTAATTTTCCACAATGCGGTAATGTATTGATTCAAGTACTTATATCCTTAGTTTCCTTTAATCATAAGTTCATCGAGAATTTAAAAGCAAAGAAAACTTTGATTAAACGAATATATTGTGAACCTAGATGGCGTTTTGTGTGTTTTTTTCTAATTCTTGGTTATTCAGTATATGAATATACTGAAGTTTAATACTTATACTTATAATTAAGGGGGAAAAAAATATCTGAAATTTTTTGTGCCAAGTACCACTAATAAAATTGGTCCATGAACTCACAGAAATGTATGGGTGATATTGTCTAAATAGTTACATACTGGAACAAGTGATGTACAGTGTGTTTGTAGCAACCGAAACCGAGTATATTTCATTTTATAACAATAATAATAATTATTATAATAATAAAATAACTCTTCCGAGACTCAACCTTTAAGATCAAAATGAAGCGAACGGGGGCATTGGTGCTGTGCACTCAGAGAAATGAATGATAATTTGTACAAAAAACAATGCATTTATGCGCTTGTGTGAGTCGGCCTGCCCTTGTTTAGCCCAACAAATGAATGCATCAGTGCAGCGTCCGCTCTCCGCTTAGTTGCAAGTATGCAAGTGTGTCACTATTCAGACAATATGACACGTTCATTGCCTTTAAGTGCGTCGCTATTCAGACAATATGACACAAGCATTGTCGTTAAGTGTGTCACTATTCAGACAATATGACACATTCATTGTCGTTAAGTTTGTCAATATTCAGGCAATATGACACATTCATTGTCGTTAAGTGTGTCACAATTCAGGCAATATTACACGTTCATTGTCTTTAAGTGTGTCACTATTCAGACAATGTGACACATTCATTGTCGTTAAGTGTGTCATTATTCAGGCAATATGACACATTCAGTGTCGTTAAGTGTGTCACTATTCAGGCAATATGACACATTCATTATCGTTAAGTGTGTCAATATTCAGACAATATGACACATTCATTGTCGTTAAGTTTGTCATTATTCAGACAATATTACACATTCATTGTCGTTAAGTGTGTCACTATTCAGACAATGGGGCACATTAATGTCTCTGCATGTTGCTCACTAATGTCGGCTGCATTGATCAGTGAAGTCGTAACAGCTTCCGAAATTTTGCATTTCACGTACGAGCAGCAGCAGTAATACTGCCTAACTGATGCAGTAATTGCCTGGTTTAGTAAGCCTATTGTCCAGTTGTACAAAGGCTTTACTGCGAAGCAGCGTATATATGCAGAAAACTACTCATTTAGCCTAAATTCATTAGTCGTTCGTTTTCATTTCATTTCATTCATTAATCAGTAATAGCGTAGAATAACAATTGAAACCGATGGGTGGAAGTAGTCATTAATCGAAAATTTACATGTATCATTAAAAAATAGATTTGAGAAACTGAAGTTCGTTTTGGTTATTCATCGCTTTAAAGAACTGTTAACAACCCAAGACCAAATAATTCCTTTCGTTACCATGAAAGTGAATGTATTCATAACGTAGGTGCGTTCAATAAATATCATGCCGATAATCACTCCTGATTCATTGGAACATGTAAGAAGTTCTAATGAGAAATAAAATACTTAAAAAAAAACACGTTTTTCTTGTGGACTAAAAAGTAGAAAATAAATTTTGGTTCGCTCCAAAAAAACGTGTGTCGGGCAGATTTATGATTAAAGCGAAAAGCGCACAACACTTAAATTTTGGAAATTTGATGGTGAACGTACAGCCCGACCCACGTTTTTTTGGGGCAAACCATAATTGATTTTCTACTTTTTAGTCCACAAGAAAAACGTGGTTTTTTAAAAAGTTTTTTTAAGTATTTTATTTTCTACTTTTTAGTCCACAACAAAAACGATTAAGATTTGATTAAGTATGACTCGACGTACGTATCGACGATACGCAGCGTTAGCGCCTGCTCGTCTATAACGTGAGCGCCCGCACGTCATACTATATAGATACTATATATACTTTAATCAATTAAACTAATTTCGGTCTCTAATTACTAGTTTTTATGATTGTATCTGAAATTGTTAGGCGAAAATTTCCTGCATGCCGAATTTCAGATCTCTAGAACAATCAGAAGTGGGCTAATTTTCGTTGTCAATGTTAACAACAAACAAACAAACAACAAACAAACGCGAAGCTAAGCTAAGAAAAACGTGTTAAAAACAAGACTACAATAGATATATACTGTATATAATAGATACACATATACACTCTGACATATTGTAGCACGTATAAATATTTGTAGTAATAGACAAAAATAAAAAATAAAAGCGCATGACAATCGTCAATTTTTGTCCAACCCAGACGGGTGGAGCTTGAAAGGATTTATTGTAGAGCAAAATAAACTAATTAAATAAGTATCTTCACCCAGACATATTGTAAGTATTTCCAGTAAATATATTTAACACGTGACAATCACGGTCGTGTGTCCACCACAGACGGGGCAGCGGCCTGGAGCTGACGGCGGACAAAGGCGATGGTAATAAAAATAATTAACACGTGACCATCACGGTCGTCTGTCCATCACAGACGGGGCAGCGGCCTGGAGCTGACGGCGGACAAAGCGATGGTAATAAAAATAATTAAGACGTGACCATCATTGTCGTGTGTCCATCACAGACGGGGCAGCGGCCTGGAGCTGACGGCGGACGAGGGCGATGGTCCGCTGTACGGCGCTGCCATCAGCGGCCACCACCACAACACGCTGCTCTTCCTGCACCCTCAGGAGGGCGTCGTGGTGGGCGGCGCCCCCGTCCACAGGAGAGCCTCTTCCCACCACAGCGTCCTTGGGGACTTCTTCAATGGTGGGGACTGGCTACGGGAGTTGGGGACTTCTTCAATGGTGGGGACTGGCTAAGGGACTTGGAGACTTCTTTAATGGTGGGGACTGGCTACGGGAGTTGGGGGCTTCTTCAATGGTGGGGACTGGCTAAGGGACTTGAATATGGGGGAGAAATGACTTAGGGACTGGCTTCTTAGGGAGGACTGGCTTTGGACTTGCTTACTGAAAAGGTCTTAGCCTTGACACAAGACTGGCGGATTTTACTGAGTAACCTAGATTTAGTGATATAATTTAATTTAATTCTAAGCGCTGAATATTTATCCATCTCATATATTCATCAGATGATATTAGGACTAGTATTAAAGATATTAATTCTGCAGCCTTATTTCAACTTGAACTCAGAGATCGCGACTCGTCTTTAAATCTTCTGTTTGAGTAACAGAAGATTTAAACCCTCTAACCCCCGGGAAGATTTTACCTACAAAACTAGATTAACGAGTTAGATTTAACCCTCAGCTCATGCCTAAAATTCGGCGGCACCGTATAAATACAAACGTAGTTTTGTTAAAAACAATAGAAAACCCTCCCCGCATTTATGTAACTTCTTTAAGAAATGGCTTCATATCATCTCTATATAGATGCAAACTCCATCTCTGTACTTTTATTCATAGAAATTAGTTGATATCGTCTCCGTATTTACAAATCTATGTTTGAACTAAAACTGTGACTTTGTCTCCGTATTTACAAAGCTTTGTTTAAATAATTTGTTCGTCTCCGTATTTACAAAGCTTTGTTTAAATAAACGGTTCGTCTCCGTATTTTCGAAGCTTTGTTTAAATAAACGGTTCGTCTCCGTAGTTTCGTAGCTTTGTTTAAATAAACGGTTTGTCTCCGTATTTTCGTAGTTTTGTTTAAACAAACGGCTTGACATCGTCGCCGTATATTCATGTTGGCACATTGCTTCTCTTGGAGTATGCGGTCACAGAATAAACTCCGCGGCATTTCACGCCTAATCTCGCATTCACCTCCAGCACAAGCCTCTATGTTTTCACTTACAAATAATCATATTGATTTTTCACCCTCAAAGTAGGTTCTGTATTTTGCGAAAAAAAAACATTTCTAGCAGATTAATAATAAATATTCATCGTATATCTTTTCTTAGTTCAAATAATTATGCGTTTGCCATATCAGGGCAGGTGCTTTGTGTGGACGCGATATTCGCTCTACCCGAAGTACCAAATCTGCAAGCAGTTTAACTTCTTTGTCTTCAGTTTCATTTAAATTTATTTAAGTATATTTATTTACGATCACAAAAACTATGCAATAAAAATAGTTTACAAATTGACTGAAGTGTAGGGTCGAAAGATAGTTTGCAACTGTGAAATTTACTTGTATATTTTGTATTTGAATAGAAGTTAAAAAGAACATCTGTCACACATTACGTAGAAGATTTCATTTAGAACGTAGCCTAATAAATATTCAAGCGGATTATCTTAATTTAGCTTCAATTATCAAGCCACTAACCTGGGGAAGTTTGTACCAGTAATTGATAGGTAAAATAACTTAAAGTCATAACTTTTATTTCTAAAGCGATATCGTCTCATTGAGTTACGTAACATGCAACATCGTGATTGCAGTTAATGACCACAATTCAAAACTTTCTTTCCTTGATCCTTTGCATTCTCATTATTTACTGAGATAAGCCTTTGATGTTCTTCACTAATCACCACGCAACTATATTTCTTAAGTCCTATTGAGGAAAATAATTTCCTATAGGATATTTTGATCCTATTGTAATTTACATGAACTTTCTCGCCTAGTTACACAATTAAAATTTATCATTCTTTGTATTTTTCAATTAAGTTTAACTGATCCTTATTCGATAATTACTTTCGATCAACTCGAATCAATTTAACATTTAAGTGAGTGTGCTTCTCTTAAGCTCTCAACAGACATTAATCAACTGGCAATAAGAATTGTTGCTCAAAAAGATATAGGCCGTCAGTGTCAGAATTGTTGCTTAATATTTTTATTTGATGGTAATAATTTCTAATTTTTCTTCAGTTGAGGCATAATCCAGGTTAAAAATAATATATACATATTTTACATTTTACATTTTACTTCATAATATTGCAAAATTCTCAATGAAAACTCTTTTTAAACTGAAGGTTGACTGAAGGTTGAGGCTGGTTAGAGGCTAGCAGCCTGAAGGTTGAGGCTGGTTAGAGGCTAGCAGCCTGAAGGTTGAGGATGGTTAGAGGCTAGCAGCCTAAGGTATGCAAACAGACTGGAGTCTCATTAGCTGCTTGATTTACTCTCCGGTATTGCAACCCCTATTGAAAATTACGGCCGTACAGAAATTCACGGCCGGCCACCCATGGGGACCCATCGTTTCAGCTTGGTCGGGAACTGACCGAGCTTTCTGGCTCATTGCTTTTTTGAAATGACTAGGGATTTTTTCCGCCAAGTTTAAATGTTGAAAATGTAATTCCATAGGCAAACTTTGATTTTCTGATTCGCTCCAAGATAACGATTCAACAAATGTTATGATTCAAAAGCTAGGATTAGAAAATTAATTTTGTACAGACTCTGTATAGGTCATGGAACTGTATAACTCATTCAAAGTATTTCTAAAAAAACTTTACATATTTCAAAATATAGTGGCAGGAAAAAGGCGAAAATTTCTGCTAACTCGTAGGACGAAGCAAATTGTCTTTTAAAGCGTTCAGAAAATTTTTCTTACTCATAGCAACTATGCCTAAATATTTCGGAAAGGTATGAAATAAATTAAATAATTGATTATTGTGTGCAAAAATCATTGAGGAATAAAACCTTCGCACGATATTCCTTATCTATTGCAAAATTGCAGAATTTTTTATTTTCTGAAAAATCCAGCAAATATATTGTACCTCATTCTAATATAAAATGAAGAAATATATTTAATTCAACTTAATTTTCACCCTCCGAATCTATTATGCCACATCGCAGAATTTTTCTTAAATCCTCCAAATATTTTGTACCTCATCCCATTATAAAACAAATATATTTAATTTAACCTAAATTTCACTCTCCATAAAGGTTGCTTAGACGACCTGCGTCTGAACGGCCGGTCGCTGCCGCTGGGGGCGGCGCCCCCCGGCAGCAGCGCGGGGGCGGTGAGCCTGGCGCGCAGTGTGGACGTTGGGTGCACAGCGCCCCCCTCAGCGCCCCCCTCAGCGCCCCCCTCCTGCACTAACATCTCCTGCATCAGGCCCTTGACCTGTCAGGAGACCTGGGGGCAACACTACTGCGGGTACGAGTAATTACTCTACTTTCAATATTTGTAACGAAGTAGTTGAAATATTGAAATTGAAATTTCAATTTCAATATTTTCGATCATGTATATATTTGTTTTACATGAAATTTTACTATTGGTCGTTGTTATTTGACTGTGTGCTTTTGTTTTATAGGAAAGTTGTTGTTATTGTTTTTGATATTCAACCGTGTATTTTTGTTTTATATGAGGGTTTACTATTGGTTGTTGTTATTCGACTGTGAACTTTTGTTTCATTTGAGAGTTTACTATTGTATTTTGTTGTAATCTAAAATTCCCCGTATTTACCCGTATTTCTATAACTGTTCAATTATACCGTTCCCTGAACTCTTGCTAATTATCTTCTCGTGTCGACGCTCCTCATCTGGAGAGTTTAGTCTTCTTTAATTTAATTACGTCATTTTAATAAATACTACTAAATGCGTTACAAGAGAAACCTGTGTTTATTTGGAGAAGCTTAGGAGGGCAAAATCCATTGGGAAAATAATGAAACTAGTTCGAGTAAACCGACATATAATAATCAGAAAACCAAAATGGAAAAGCATAACAAAAAATGGGTTAAGGAAAATCAATCGGTAACTACTTGAGGATGACGGCTCATTATCATTAGTCTATAGTGAGAGTAACTGCCATACCTTTCGGTACGAATATAATTAACATCGGTAAATGCATCCGCAGAAAAATAATTAATTTTTTGTCCAATATTGATAACTATCGTAACCAGGTCACTAGGCACGAATGACATCGAACGACTGTTAATGCATCAGCAGAAAAGGAATTAATGCTCTGTCCACTGCTAATAATTGTCGTTACTAAGTCACTAGGCACGAATAACATTAAACGGCGGTTAATGCATCTACAAGAAAAAAATTATTAACTCTTCGTCCACTCGCGAACTGTCGTTACCAAGTCACTAGGTACGAATAATATTAAACGGGGTTTAATGCATCTGCAGAACAAGAATTAATTCTTTCCCCATTTTCGATAACCATCGTTACAAAGCCACTAGGTACGAATAACATTAAACGACGGTTATTGCATCCGCTAAAAAGGATTACTTCTTCGTCCACTGTCGGTAACTGACGTTACCAAGTCACTAGGTACGAATAACATTGTCGTCCGTTAACGTATCCGTATAAAAACATTAACGTTCACATTGATACGTTGAGCAGATGTGACGTCGGCGCGTCGCTGACGCTGGACGGCGCGCAGTGCCGAGACGTCGACGAGTGCGTCTGGCGGCCCTGCCTGCACTCCGGCACCTGCTATAATAAACCTGCTGGTGGGTGGTGACCTGCTGGTGGTGGTGACCTGCAGTTGGTGGTGACCTGCTGGTGGTGGTGACCTGCAGGTGGTGGTGACCTGCTGGTGGTGGGTGGTGACCTGCAGGTGGTGGTGACCTGCAGGTGGTGGTGACCTGCAGGTGGTGGTGACCTGCAGGTGGTGTGCTGGGGGCAGCGCCCCCCGGCAGCAGCGCGGGGGCGGTGAGCCTGGCGCGCAGTGTGGACGTTGGGTGCACAGCGCCCCCCTCAGCGCCCCCCTCCTGCACTAACATCTCCTGCAGCAGGCCCTTCACCTGTCAGGAGACCTGGGGGCAACACTTCTGCGGGTACGAGTACTTACTCTACTTTCAATATTTGTAGGTACGAAATAGTTGAAATATTGAAATTTCAATTTCAATATTTCAATATTTTCAATATTTTCGATCATGAACTTTTGTTTTACATGAGAGTTTATTATTGGTTGTTGTTATTCGGCCGTGTACTTTTGTTTTATAGGAAAATTTATTTCTGGTCGCTGTTATTCGACCGTGTACTTTTGTTTTATAGGAAATATTATTATTGGTTGTTGTAATTCGGCCGTGTATTTTGGTTTTATAGGAAATATTATTATTGGTTGTTGTAATTCGGCCGTGTACTTTGGTTTTATAGGAAAATTTATTTCTGGTTGTGGTTATTCGACCGTGTACTTTTGTTTGTATGAGTATTTACTCATGCTTGTTGTTGTTCGACCGTGTATTTTTTAACGTGAAAGTTTACTATTGGTTGATATTCGATCGTATACTTGTTTAATATAAAAGTTTATTATTAGTTGTTGTTATTCGACTGTGAACTTTTGTTTAATATGAGAATTTACTATTAGATATTGTTTTCCAACCGTGTACATATGTTTTTTATGAGAGTTTACTATCAGTTGTTGTTATTCGATCGTGTATTTTTTGTTTTATATAAGAGTTTATTGGTTGTTGTTATTCGACCGTGTATTTTTTGTTTTATATGAGAGTTTACTTTTGGTTGTTGTTATCTATCATTCCTATCTAATGGAAATAACAACTCGAGGGACATTATGTCAGTCAGTTTAAATTAAATTATGTTTTCCTCGCATCTCTATATTTGTTTAATTTCACTGTTCCCAGAACTCCAGCTAATTATCTTCTCGTATATCACGCTCTTTAACTGAAGAGTTTAGTCTTCCTTCATTTTATTATGCCTTTATAACAAATAAAACTAAATGCGTTACTCGGGAAATTTGTGTTCCTTTTGTGAAACGTACGAGGAAAAAATCCATTAGGGAAATAATGAAATTAGTTCGAGTACATCGACATATAATAATCAGAAAACCAAGCGGAACAGCATCATAAAAAAATGGGTTAAGGAATATCATTCGGTAACTACTTTAGTGTGGCGGTTCATTATCATTAGTCTCACGAGAGTAACTTTTGACTTTTAGGTACGAATACGGTATACCATTGATATCGTTAATGAATCCGCATAAAAATAATTAACTCTTTGTCCTTTGTCGAAAACTCTCTTAACCAGGTACGAATAACATAAACGATGATTAAGGAATCAGTAGAAAAAAGGATTAATAATTTGCCCACTGTCCTTACAAGGTCATCAGGTATGATCGTTGATGTCGGTTAATGCATCCGGGTAGAGAATGTGTCATGGTGCTGAGTGCTGACAACCGATCAATCATTTGACCACTGTCGATAACTTTCGTTATCAAGTCACTAGGTATGAATAGGATTGAACAGCGGTTAATGCATCTGTAAAAAAATGATTAATTCTTCGTCCACCGTCGGTACCTATCGTTACAGGGCCACTATAGGCACGAATAACATTGTCGTCTGTTAATGTATCTGCTAAAAATGATTAATTATTCGTACACTGTCGATAACTGTCGTAACAAAGCCACTAGGTACGAATAATATTTAACGGCGGTTAATGCATCGCAGAAAAATAACTAATTCGTTGTCCACTGTTGGTAATTGTCGTTAAAATACCACTAGGTACGAATAACATTGTCGTCCGTTAACGTATCAGTATAAAAACATTAACGTTCATATTGATACGGTGACCAGATGCGACGTCGGCGCGTCGCTGACGCTCGACGGCGCGCAGTGCAGAGACGTCGACGAGTGCGTCTGGCGGCCCTGCCTGCACTCCGGCACCTGCTATAATAAACCTGCTGGTGGGTGGTGACCTGCTTTGGTTGTTGTTATTTGGCCGTGTACTTTTGTTTTATATGAGAGTTTACTGTTGGTTGTTGGTATTTGGCCGTGTACTTTTGTTATATAGGAGAGTTTACTATTGGTTGTCTCTGTAATAAGCTATTAATATTTACTTTAAATTACAACTCGAGGGACATGATATCTGTCAGTTTACATTAATTAACATTTTCCTCGCAGCTCAATTTTTGTTCAATTCCACAGTTCCCTGAACTCTAGCTAATTATCTTCTCGTATATCACGCTCTTTATCTGAAGAGTTTAGTCTTTCTTCATTTTATTATCCCATTTTAAGATATAAAACTAAATGCGTTGCTCGAAGAACTTGTGAGTCTGGGAAACTTATGAGGGCAAAATGCATCGGGGAAATAATTAATGTAGTTCGAGTACATCGACATATAATAATAAAAAAACGCGGTACAGCATCACAAAAAATGGGTTAAAGAATATCAATTGGTAACAAATTGAGTGTGGCTGCTCATTATCATTAATCTAATGAGAGTAACTGTCATACCTTTCCGTACGAATAGAATTGACATCGGTTAATGCTTCCGCAGAAATTAATTATTATTCTGTATACTGCTAAAAACTGTCGTTACCAAGCCACTAGGCACGAATAACATTGCCGTCCGTTAATATATCCGTATAAAAAAGATTCATTCTTGGTCCACTGTCGTTACCACTTCACTAGGTACGAATAACATTGTCGTCCGTTAAAGTATCCGTATAAAAAAGATTCATTCATCGTCCACTGTCGTTACCACTTCACTAGGTACTAATAACATTGTCGTCCGGTAATGTATCTGTATAAGAAGATTAAAGTTCAAAATAAAAAATAAAGTTGTTAATATTAACGTTCATATTGATACGTTGAGCAGATGTGACGTCGGCACGTCGCTGACGCTGGACGGCGCGCAGTGCAGAGACGTCGACGAGTGCGTCTGGCGGCCCTGCCTGCACTCCGGCACCTGCTATAATAAACCTGCTGGTGGGTGGTGACCTGCAGGTGGTGGGTGGTGACCTGCAGGTGGTGGGTGGTGACCTGCTGGTGGTGGGTGGTGACCTGCATATATAATATTATATAATATAAGTACATGTATCATACAATATAAATATAAGAAACATATAATATGAGTACACGTATCGTATAACATAAATATATTAAAACATTGAAGCATGAACACGCCGCCGTGTGCGCGTATCCAGGCTACGTGTGCACGTATAATAAATATATAATATAAGTACATGTGTCATATAATCTGAAAATATAATAAAACATATTATATAAGTACATTTATCATATAATAAAACTATAATAAAACATATAATATACCTTCATGTATCATATTACATGAATATAATAAAACATATATACAAACACCCCCCGGTGTGCGCGTATCCAGGCTACGTGTGCGCGTGTGCCGCGGGCTACGCGGGTGCCAACTGCGAGCACCGCCTGCCGCGGGGGGCGGCGGGGGGGCGGGGGGCGGTAGTGGTGCTGCTGGCTGCCGGCGCTGTGCTCACGGCTGTGCTCACCGGTTAGTTGACTCACTTTAGGTTTATTTAGTGAGTCATGTGATGTTACTGACTCATAGGTGATTTATTTACTGATCTGATCGACTCCGGTGAGTAAAATGACTCAGTACTTTACTGGTGAGTCTGGTGAGTCTGGTGAGTCTGGTGAGTCTGGTGAGTCTGGTGAGTCTGGTGAGTCTTGTGAGTCTGGTGAGTCTGGTGAGTCTGGTGAGTCTGGTGAGTCTGGTGAGTCTGNTCTGATGTTTTAAAGCCGTGTGATGTTTAAAGCCGTCTGATGTTTTAAAGCCGTGTGATGTTTAAAGCCGTCTGATGTTTTAAAGCCGTGTGATGTTTAATACCGTGTGATGTCTTAAAGCCGTGTGATGTATTAAGACCGTGTGATTTCATAAAGCCGTGTGATGTCTTAAAGCCGTGTGATGTCTTAAAGCCGTGTGATGTCTTTAAATCACGTGATGGACTGCAGTGACCGCATAAGCGTATTATCTATAAACGCGTCTACCTATATAATCCAGCGTATTATCTATTATCCTAGAATCCATTGCGGCTTCCATTACAAATAAAGCTCAAGGTAACGCAAGTGTGTAATTTTGCGAAAAATTTGTGATAATAAAGAATATATTTGAAATTATCATATTTTGTCTCGTTCTAAACGTGGGTATGAACTATGGTGCGCAGAACCAAAAGATTTTAGTTTATGTAAAATTTACCATTTACTTCTCCCATGATATTTGTTATATTTGACACAAATATTGGAATATGAACAATTTTGAGCATTGGTCCGCTAGTAGTCGCTTGTGTTGTATATTAAAAGACCATTTAATAAATGGAATGGAATGTGGTGAGTGTGGAATGGTGAGTGTGGGAGGCCTATAAAAAAAAAAAAAAAAAAAAAAAAAAAAAAAAAATTTAATAAATTTGCAATTCAAATTGAATCCTGTCGGCCGAAATATCATGGATGAAATGTTCAACCTAAAGTAATTTGATTCTTCAAAGAACCGAACGATGAGAAGAATTTGTTCATACGAACAGAAGCTTACAGACGATCGAGGCTTCATGAATTTATCCGGTTAAGCGAGCACGACTTGAATTCTGAACGAACGAAATTCAAGAAAATATAAATGAAAGTTGAAGAATGGACATATACGCCTCGTATTTATTGTCTGTTATAGATAGCAGCGTGCTTCTACAGATGCAGTTTTTGCAACTCGAAGCAATTTCTACCTCAGCATTTTATAGCGCGCAATATGTAATACAAAATAATTTTGCATAAAACTTCTACGTACATTTTCATAGAGCATACTGAAATATTCGCTAAACTTAATACTACGAAAAGTTGTACCACAAATTTAAAGCTCAAGTTTTCGGAGGAATTCAATAACACAATAGGCCTGGCATTCCGATCACTGCCTCTTGTTTATATAAGGGTAATACTTCATAAAAATATCATTGCGGGTACAAGATGCATGTTATCTGTTTATAATGTGAATGAGTGATTAAAGCAAAAACACTTGTTGATCATATAATAATTGAATGAGTTGGTAATTTAAAATTTTTGTTTACCTTTATGCAACTTGAATGTGCGATTAAATCAGAAAACTTCTTTGAGTCAATGCTATTTGACTGGGTTAGTTAGTTAAATTGCCTGAATAAATGATAAATATTTGATAATCTAAAAAAATGATTTTGCAATAAAAATATGATTTTTGTAATATATGCAAAAATTGCTTTTGAATTTACTGCAACGAATGTTCCCCTTCTTTGTTGCAGTGCTGATGATAGCGTTGGTGGTGTGGTATGTCCGGCGCAGGAGACAAGGCAAGGGTACAAGCGGTGGTGACAACACCACGCGAAGATCTTCATCATCTTTTGAAACTCTTCAGCTTCACTCGCCTTCCATGAAATCGTCGGCAGATTTGCTGTACAAGATGGAGAACCCGTCGCAGAGATCCGTCTCTGTGATAAACCTGAGCTCTGCGGTGGCTGAAAGCAACACTAAGGTCGATGACATCTCAGCTCACGGATGTCATCAACAGATTCTGACATCGAAAGCCATCAATTTACCAGAGCGAGATCACTGTAACAAATTGGATGTCCAAGATGACTCTTGCAAAGCTCATCTGCAGTTCGCGTCCTTTCAAACCCAGGCCTGTAATCAACATGACTTGCAATCTTCAGGCAACGATTGCCACGAAAGTCAAAAGTTCGAAAAATCAGGATTTTGTCCTTCGTCGCCATGCAGGGAGTTTTGCAGAGTGCAAAGTCAAGTGTCGGGGCCAAATATCCTGCTAACTCGAGGATCTGCACTGCAGTCCCCGCTTGATTGTGCGGATGAGAGAAATTTGCTGCCATGTACATGTGGTTTGCAAGACTCCAGTCCACAGCGGCGCTCCGGCATTGCTGGTAAAAAAATATTAATCTGGCAAACTTAACTATGAGATAAAACTTATAATTTATGAATTATAGAACAATTGTTGTAAGACTATCAGATTTTTTGGCTAGTCAATTGCGGCTTCCATTACAAACAAAGGTCAGGTTGACGCAAGTGTGTAATTGTGCGAAAAATTTGCGACAATAAAAAATTTATTTAGAATTATTACATTTTGTTTCATTCTAAACGCGGGTACGAACTATGGTGCACAGAATCAAAAGATTTTAATTTATGTAAAATTTACCATTTACTTGGATATTTGTTTTGTTTGACGCAAATATTGGGATATGAACCTTTTTTAGCATTTGTCCGCTAGTAGTCGCTTGTGTTGTAGATAAAAAGACCATTTAATAAATTTGCAATTTAAATTGAACCCTGTCGGCCGAAATATCATAGACGAAATATTCAACCTAAAGCAATTTGATTCTTCAAAGAACCGAACGATGAGAGGAATTTGTTTATACGAACAGCGCTTCATACGATCGAGGCTCCATGAATCGATCAAAATTTGTCCGGTAAAGCGAGCACGACTTGAATTCTGAACGAACGAAATTCAAGAAAATTTAAATGAAAGTCGAAGTATAGACATTTACGCCTCGAATTTATTGTTTGTTATAGATAGCAAAGCGCCACTACAGATGCAGTTTTTGCAACTCGAAACAATTTCTAGTTGAGCAATTTCTAGCCCGTAGTATTTAATACAAAATAATTGTGTACATACCTTCAACGTATATTTTCATAGAACATACCGAAGTATTCGTTACACATGAAATAATGAAAAGTTGTTCTACACATTTTCAAGCTCGAGTTTTTCGGTGGAATTCAATAACACAATAGGCCTGGCGTTTCGATCACTGTCCCTCGTTTATATAGAGACAATACTTCATTTAAAAATATCATTACGGGTACAGGATGCATGTTATCTGTTTGTAATGTGAATGAGTGAGTAAGGTAGAAGCGCTTATTTGTCAAATAAAAATTAAATGAGTTAGTAATTAAAAATCGTTGTTTACTTTATTGCAACTTGAATGTGCGAATAAATTTGAAAACTCCTTGGATTCAATGCTACTTGACTGGGTAATTTAATTAAGTTAATGCAACCTGAATAAATGATTAATGCAAAAAACGCTTTTGATTTTACTGCCCTTCTGTGTTGCAGTGCTGATGATGGCGTTGGTGGTGTGGTATGTCCGGCGCAGGAGACAAGGCAGGGGAACAAGCGCTGGTGACAACACCACGCAAAGATCTTCATCATCTTTTGAAACTCTTCAGCTTCACTCACCCTCCATGAAATCGTCGGCAGATTTGCTGTACAAGATGGAGAACCCGTCGCAGAGATCCGTCTCTGTGATAAACTTGAGCTCTGCGGTGGCTGAAAGCAACACTAAGGTCGATGACATCTCAGCTCACGGATGTCATCAACAGATTCTGACATCGAAGGCCATCAATTTACCAGAGCGAGATCACTGTAACAAATTGGATGTTCAAGATGACTCTTGCAAAGCTCATCTGCAGTTCGCGCCCTTTCAAACCCAGGCCTGTAATCAACATGACTTGCAATCTTCAGGCGACTATTGCCACGAAAGTCAAAAATTCGAAAAATCTGGATTTTGTCCTTCGTCGCCATGCAGGGAGTTCTGCAGAGTGCAAAGTCAAGTGTCGGGGCCAAATTTCCTGCTAACTCGAGGATCTGCAATGCAGTCCCCGCTTGATTGTGCGGATGAGAGAAATTTGCTGCCATGTACATGTGGTTTGCAAGACTTCAGTCCACAGCGGCGCTCCGGCATTGCAGGTAAAAAAATATTAATCTGGCAAACTTAACTATGAGATAAAACTTATAATTTTTGAATAATAGAACAATTGTTGTAAGACTATCAGATTTTTTGGCACCAAATAATTATGTTGTAAAGACTTCGAATTATTTCACAAACTTGAAATAAGATACTTAGTGATAGTAATATATGATACCTAGCGATACTAAAATATGATAATTATTGATACGAAAATGTGATACTTAGTGATACTAAAATATGATGCTTAGCGATACTCAAATATGATACTTAGCGAACTCAATTGATGAAAGTCGTAATGGTAGGCTTTAATTCAATCAAATACAATTAATAATCACAGATTTGAATCGAGATAATTAATTAGTGTTTATGAGTCCTCTTATCGTTACACTGCCAAGCATTTGTGCGGTTGATGATAATCATTGGCATGCTGGTGATTATCATCGGATACTATCGTCCAAATAATTATGTTGTAAAGCCTTCGAATTATTTCACAAGCTTAAAATAAGATACTTAGTGATAGTAATATATGATACCTTGCGATACTAAAATATGATAATTATTGATACGAAAATGTGATACTTAGTGATACTAAAATATGATGCTTAGCGATACTCAAATATGATACTTAGCGAACTCAATTGATGAAAGTCGTAATGGTATAGGCTTTAATTCCATCAAATACAATTAATAATCACAGATTTGAATCGAGATAATTAATTAGTGTTTATGAGTCCTCTTATCGTTACACTGAAAAGCATTTGTGCGGTTGATGATCATCATTTGCATGCTTGTGATAATCATCGGATACTATCGTCCTGTCCTGCTATTCCTGATTATATTTATAAACCTGACGATATTCCTGGTTTTATTTCATCATCTGGTGATATTTTAAATTATATTTCTTCAACTGACGATATTCATTATCTGATTTTGTCAACTGACAATAGAATAAATTATTTTTCATCAACTGGCGATATTATAAAATATTTTTCATCAATTAACGATATTCTGAATTATTTTTCATCAACTGACGATAATCTAAATTATTTTTCAGCAACTAACGACATTCTAAATTACTTTTCATCAACTGACGATATTCTAAATTATTTTTCACCAATTGACGATAATCTAAATTATATTTCATCGACTGATGATATTCTAAATTGTATTTCATCAACTGACGATATTCTAAATTATATTTCATCAACTAACGATACTCTAAATTTTATTTCATCAACAGACAATTTTCAAAAGTAATCAACTGACAAAATTATATCAAGCTATATATCATTCTGAATTTTATTTATTAGATTTACATTATATTTCATTCTAAATTGTATTTATCCCACTGATGATATTCCTAATAGTATTTCACAAGTGACAGTAGTATTTTTCCTGATCAATCTGCACCAGGAGTGGACGTGGTGCCAACTCCTGCAGCTGGGATGTTTGCGGCCTCGCGGGTCAATTCTGGCTCCTGAAAATTTCAGACGTCTGTCATCCTTCCGTCCGACGGCTAATTAACGCTCGTCCTAAAATGCACGGACTTTCTGGAGAGGTGGACTTCAAGGGTTAGGGCTTTGGTGGGACTTCAAGGCTTTAGGTTTTGGTAGGACTTCAAGACTTCGGACTTTGGTGGGACTTCAAGGCATAGGACTTTGGTGGGACTTCAAGGCTTAGTTAGGGTGGACTGCAAGGCTTTGCTGGGACTTTAGGGCTTTTGGTGGGACTTTAAGGCTTTTGGTGGGCTTGAAGAGTTTGGAGGGACTTGAAGGCTTTGGGTGGACTTGAAGGCTTTGGAGGGACTTGAAGGCTTTGGATGGACTTGAAGGCTTTGGGTGGACTTGAAGGCTTTGGGTGGGCTTGAAGGCATTGGGTGGACTTGAAGGCTTTGGGTGGACTTGAAGGCTTTGAGTTGACTTGAAGGCTATGGAAGGACTCTAAGGCCTCAGAGGAACTTAAAGTCTTCGAGGGGACTTCACGACTTCGGTGAGACTTCAAGGCTTCCTAGATACTCCAGGGCCTAATTCATGAAAAATGTTATGAGAAAAATTTGCGTAACAAATGATGAACCCTGAGATCTGACTTCTAGATCCTCATGCAGCCTTGACATTGCAGGTTTCATCGACGAAAAGTAATGTACAAATTTTTGGATCGGTGAAACAAATAAATTACTCAACAGTAGAAATTATTTTTGAGTAGAAATTCACAGTTTCGGGCCATTCGGCCCAAAATCGGCCATTCGAGCTACAAATGTAGCTCTCTGATCGAATCTCAGATGCGACTCGATTTAATGACGAGTCGTTAATTAGAAGGGAACAAAAGGAAAGCGTGACAACAGGGTGATTAGAGTGACCGAGTTCTAACGCAGGAACCTCGTTCGATGTTCAGTTACGAATTAATAAACAATGTTATTGACACAGTTCGCTCCAAGTAACAATGTTCGCAACTGAATTCCCTATAGTGAACTTTACGGTCTCACTGAGTTTTGACAGCGGAAATCGTTATAGCACTGAAGATTAAAACGTTAAACTTTGAAGGTTAATGGAACAAGATTCGGACGCCGGCTTCGGCCGAACAGTCACTACACTCGGCGCAAAGTTATTCTGGGTCTCCTAGCTAGGACGCCCGATCGAAATCAGTTTCTCGTCAGAATCTCCTTCCCAAATTTATACTAGCCTGAGATTATGACAAGGGTTGGCCGAGCCGAATGAGATCGAGCTACGAATAATTGATCCATATCTACCAAAGACACGCGAAAAATTGATCGAGTTTTCCCAGACAACGCGAAGAACTGATCTAGTTTTACCGGATGAAAGCGAATAATTGATCCAGTTTTAGCGACGACACGCGACGAAGTGATCGAGTTTACTAACCCCAAAAAAATATTAATAAAAAATTTGCGTAAAACGCAAAGCATGGATCAAGTTTAATCCGAAGAACGCGATATTTGATCCATTTCTACCAGTGACACGAGAAGAAGTGATTAAGTTCTACCAAAGGCACGCGAAGACTAATCGGTTTCTAACTTAAATGTGCCGTTAAGTGATCGAGCACAGTTCAGTGGCAGTACAGTGTGGTGGTCAGTGGTCAGTGCGGTGGTCAGTGGTCGGTGCGGTGGTCAGTGGCCAGTGCGGTGGTTAGTGGTCGGTGCGGTGGTCAGTGGTCAGTGCGGTGGTAAATGGTCAGAACGGTGATCAGTGGTCAGTGCGGTGGTCAGTGGCCTGTGTGGTGGTCAGTGGCCAGTGGTCAGTGCTATGGTCAGTGGTCAGCATGGTTGTCAGTGGAAAGTGTGGTGGTCAGTGGTAAGGGTGGTGGTCAGTGGTCAGTGCGATGGTCAGTGGTCAGTGCGGTGGTCAGTGGTCAGTGCGGTGGTCAGTGGTCAGTGCAGTGGTCAGTGGTCAGTGCGGTGGTCAGTGGTCAGTGCGGTGGTCAGTGGTCAGTGGCCAGAGCGGTGGTCAGTGATCAGTGTCCAGGCATTGCACTGGATAGATAAATTAAATACTCGGTAATCCTGTAAGCTGATCGACCGACAAGAAGACGATCAACCGCGCCATGAATTACAACCACGAAATTTATTGCTGAAAATTGTAGATTGTTTCAAAAAGAACGCGCGTTGTTCAGCACTGAGTTCACTACGTGGAATTTATGGTGTTTGATCAATCTTTTTGTTCAAAGTTTTTTTTTTTTCTTAACATCTTCAAATGTCTCCGAAAACAGAGCTCGATTATAAAAAATAATAATAATTTAACTGCAAATGTGGCATTTATTTTTATGACGAAATAAAAATAATAGAATTAAAATTCGGAAATTCAAAATTAAGTCAATTGTGACGAAAGATGGGATAAAAAATGTGTATGAATATATGACATATATCCAGACGTGTGACATATACCTACGCATGGACATTTCACTGAGGAAAAGATTATTGACAGAAATAAATTTATTTGGTTTGGAATTCCTATAACCGAAGGCAAATGATGCAGATATTTTGATGACTAATGCACGACAACTTTAACGACGAAGACCAAAGCATTTTTTTTGTGCAATATAGAAATAAATAACGTGAGTTTATCACATTGCTGAGAAACTATCAATCAGCTTCTATATTCAAAAATCCAAATGTACATATTTCTATAATAGGTTAATGATTGTTAGAGAGAAATTATGGAGATAATATTCTTTAATACATGTGTAATAATCTTTTAAATATTCTCATATCGCTGTTTGTACCGATAAATATATATATTTTTCCACCCACCAGTCTTTTATTCGAGTTCTTTTTTAATTAAAGGCAAGAAAAAGGAATAACGATCAAAAAATGCACGAAGAAAAAGGCTTCCTGCATTATTCAGTAATTTACCAATTGATCGTTGTTTTCCTTTCAGTTCATAATCAGTTTTCATCACAATTCTGCACTGGTCTTCCTTTCCATTCACCATCAGTTTTCTTCACCATTCTGCACTGGGTTACCTTTCCATTCACCATCAGTTTTTTCCACCATTCTGCACTGGGTTTCCTTTCCATTCACCATCAGTTTTCTTCACCATTCTGCACTGGGTTTCCTTTCCATTCACCATCAGTTTCTTCACCATTCTGCACTGGGTTACCTTTCCATTCACCATCAGTTTTTTCCACCATTCTGCACTGGGTTTCCTTTTCATTCACAATCAATTTTCTTCACCATTCTGCACTGGTTTTCTTTTCCAATCTGCTTCACTCTTCCACACATTACGATCATTGGAAAAGTTCAAGAAGAATCATTATCTAGCTCTTGAACTTATTGCTAAAGTTAGTTTCCCTAAGAATATCTTTTGCACTATCTACATATATTTTTATTTTATCCGAAAATTATTTTTCAGCTCATGCTGAATCAGTCTAAATATAAAAACTTTATTGCAACATATCTATAGATGAATTGCACTTTTAGAAAGCAATTGAGGTAATGTTCTACTTTTGAAAAAAAACACCGTTATGTAGAAACACCATATTGGATATT